CGATCCCGTTAGTCGCCTCTTACGACAAGCATGGGTTGTTCATGATATCAAACACTTACAGGCTATAGCTGGACTATTGCTGACTGTGTGTTCAGCAATAACAAACCAAAACATCTTGTATATGCCGACATTTGAGCAGTTATAGATGCACCTGAGCACAATTTCCACTATATGTTCCTAATAAATTCGTGGATGTTGGTTGGGGGTTTTGTCCTCAGTATTTGTCACATGATGTATATGAATATGTAAATGTTTGTAAATAAATGTATATACTTGTCATCAAAGGCTTCATAGTCAATACACGAAACGATGTACTGGAGTTAAAAGTAATGATCTACAACGACGCATCCTGGGTGAGCGAGTGAGTTTAGTTTTACGCCGCTTTTAGCAATATTTCAGCAATACCGTCAGAATGTTCTTCACACACTGTGCCCATATGGGCACTCGAACCTGGGTCCTCGGTGTGATGAGCGAATGTTTTAACCACTAGGCTACCTCTCCACCCCATCTTGGTTGAGATATTAACAGGATGCGTGTAACGTGGTGAGTAGGGACCTTTGGTTACCAGGCATACGGAAAATATGTCTATTAACAGTTGCGTCCCTTACCAGGATACCACAATCGTGGTTCGAAATCCAGGTTATGGCCCTCACCACTGCTCAGTGTTTTTTCCAGTGGCAACATTCAGGCCAAACTGCAGTTTACCCATGATGTTGGTCGAAATATTACGATAATATAATGGAATAGTCACACCGACCACATTGCTATATGCAACTACATGGTGTTCTAGTGCAGTGCTACCGAATGCCTTACAGTTGTGAGCTGTCCAGTACCTGAAGTGTCCCCGATTACAGCAAAATGTATTCATGCGCCGGGTTGACACTTGACACTGTGACTAATTTCATATTCTACCATGACTTCAGTAAACACTGGATTGTGATTGGTTAATTAAAGTCATTCAGAGGTATATAATCACGTTATACAGTTCTCTGATATTCCGTGCGCAATTATACAAGGTTTACGGTAATGCACTATTTTTGTCTGCCCACCAACATGGCGGACACCAAACAACCTACCGATGCATCGATAAATTACGGCGATTTTGCTGTCGGAAATTACACATAGGTCTTTAAAGATGGATTTAGCGATGACGGGCTCGACTCACTACTTGCGTAAATCACAGCAATAGGTGTTTATACATACAAAAGTACTTCGAAAGCATGGAAACAAATATTCAGTCGAACAAGATCAAAACATCGTCTGCTTTCCGAACAAAAATTCAGCAAGAAAAATATGTTTACGTTGATTCTATGTTATGTAAAAATAGATGAAGCAAGAGACTGCTACATAATTTCCGTATTAATTTATTATCAGCTTTCGTCAACGATATCGCCACTGATCTTGATCCGGTAACGGAGGATGCATTAACATCGAACGCCGAAGAAATTTTAATGCCTTCCGTCTACATAAATAAACGGTTGGGTTATCAATTCAAACAAAATGATATATTTTTGAGAAATTTGTACTGTTTCAAATTTAGCGGTAGTAAAACACAATTACAGAATCTGCAAACCGTTCTGTTTAGCCCAACATATTTTTTTCTAAAAGTATAATATCGTTGAAAAAATTATTTAGCTTAGTCATGATCCCTCTTATCCATTACACTGCTTGATCTAAAGTAGTCTATTAAAGTATAATTAATTACCTAACCGTGTTTATGCCAGAGGTACATCCTCATGTCCTGTTCCATCCTTTCGGAAATATCACCACAAATCTGGCTCTTTGTCAACAGCCTCGCGAACATGCCAGCGAATCCGATTCAATTTGAATTCACTACACTTTGAAGCCACTAGGTCACAAAACACTTTACAAAATGTAGAAAATAATATCCGTAGAATCGAATTTGAGCACAAAGTACACACACGAGTGTGTAAGAGTCACCAAAGCTGTCGCACGCAGACGTAGAGGTGCGTGAAATCGTCAAGTTGACAGGGCGCAAAATTCAACAGTATCTAAATTCGGTACAACACGGACTTCTCATTACAGCAAAAGCGCCTCTTCTCTTAAATTTTGTACTAGTACCAGCAATTAGATATCAAAGACTATCTCAGTCATACAATCAGGTTAACCTTGCGCAAACTGTCAGAGGATCTCCTGTCGCATCTTTCCAAATTTGCACGTAAATGTAAACAATGACTTCCGAGGAAGGTCAAGGCCATGAGGTTGCTGCCATTATTCTGGTGGGGAAAAGGTCACCGGTGAAATTTTCAAATGTGAACCAAGCTTTTTAAACTTATTTGATATATGTTTTCCAACTTATCAGTTACAGATTGGTGATTAATGCATTGAAAAAACAAAACATGATTTGTTATTACTGAATCTGGAGTTTGTTAGTTATTGACAGTTTGCCACCAATCACCCCGTTTCGGGCGATGCCACTTGAGATTGGAATGCGAGGCCGCTTCACGTATTGACTCGTAACCAAAGAAAGAGTTCCACCTGAAATTGTTCATAAAATTGTCATGGTAGAATGGAGATAAACCTACTGTGTGGGAAAATCAGAGGTATATAACGAAATTATAATAGCTCTAAATTGTTCATTTAAAACCTCACGCTACGCGTTCGGTTTTAAATGTAATTATAATAGCTCTAAATTGTTCATTTAAAACCTCACGCTACGCGTTCGGTTTTAAATGAAATTTAGAGCTATTATAATTTCGTTATATACCTCTGATTTTCCCACACAGTAGGTTTATCTCCTAATTTTAGAGAATTATCTGCGACTGGCAGCGAGTAACGGATGAGTGAGTGAGTTTAGTTTTACGCTGCTTTTAGCCATATTCCAGCAATATCACGGCGGAGGACACCAGAAATGGGCTTCACACATTGTATAAATGTGGGACATCGAACCGGGTCTTCGGTGTGACGAGCGAACGAATTAACCACTAGACTACCCCACCGCCCCGAGTAACGGATGAACCTACAGCACACAGTATCACAGGTATAGGGTCCGAAGTCCGAAGGTTAGATTTCTCATCTCATTCCGGTACGTCTAAATAGCAGTAGTAAGTGAATATACACTGCACTTATATCTTATTCTTTATTGAAATAAATTGTACATCTGTAAATTGTAGAATATGATAAAAAAAACGTTCAGTCAATAGTCGTGCTATTTGCAAAACACAAGTGCAGGTGTTAAACTAAATTAGCAAAACAACCAAATGTATCAATACTCTCATCATCCCATCTAAAATCCCTTTCCGAATCCAATAAAAGCCAGTTAACTCAAATACGATACCGCTCCCAGCCTCACGACAGATATCTGATTTTAATAAGATATACAAGAGATAATATCAGAAACACCACAGGAGGTAGTGAGATTAGTTTTACGCCGCACCCAGCAATATTCCAGCTATATGGCGGCCACAGGAAGTAAGTGGACCATCAAGAGATAAGATATATTTATATATATATTTATATATATATATATATATATATATGTCAGTTGCATTTGTATTTCGACACAACCACTAATGGTGCAGATAATACAAATTAGGGATAACTAAAAACCAATCTTGCCATAGCAACGATACTGAAGTACAGATATAAGGTCACACACGACCATATAGGAAGCAGAATCTGGGTGTGAGTGAGTGAGTTTAGGTTTACACCGCTTTTAGCAATCTTCCAGCAACATCACGAAGGGGACATCAGAAATGGGCTTCAAACATTGTACCCATGTGGGGAATCGAACCCAGTTTTCGGCGTGATGAGCGACCGCTTAACCACCAGGTTACCCCACCGCCTCTGAACCCGGGTGTACGCGGTCGACAACTGTACGGAGGCATTGGGGACTGTTTGTCAAGAGTAACTGGCATTTGTACAACACATGATGCACTAAGTCTGTAGAGTCTTATTTTGTGAATAGTACAACTGTGTGTTACTGCCAAACGAAGCATAGTCTATTGGTGTCTTGTTGACAGATTACTATCTTAAATAATCGCACATAGAAGAGAAAGTGTTAACCTGGCAAATAACTTGTTCTAGGTCCTGTGAAGTGTACCTTGGTCGCATCACGTAGTACAGCATAAGACCCGTTCTAAATGTAACTAGAAAAAACGATTTACACTTCAAATGAGTTACATTATAACATAAATATTGTCTCAATGACCAATTTGAAGTGCCAAAATATACTTGCGCATAAGAACTCACATCTAAAATATGTATTTTAGGAAACACCTCCTTTAGAAGTCGTTTAGCCCTCGTAACTATTCGTGAGCACATGGTGTTATTCTGATAATCGTCTCGTTCACAGGAAGGGGTGATTGGCACTGAATGCTTCTTCACAATTACCAGTTTCACCTTGAGGTAAGTAGAAACTCAAGGACGCTAAGGGTTAAATCATTATCGAGTATATTTTAAAACGCAGGAAAGAATCAGTTCCGGTCTTTCAGCGCACCTGTGTACAAGAAACCGTGTACCTCGACACAGGCCCTCGTGTCTTTGCGAGGATTAATGATTAAAAAATATTGTTTTGAGATGACCCCCGACTCGAAATGCATTGTACTGAAATTTTTGTATATATTTTATAAAATCTCTAATCCTCGCAAAGACACGAGGGCCTGTGTACCTCGACCCATTCAACAAACGCATGAGTGAGTGAGTGAGTCAAGTTTTACGCCGCCTTTCGCAAAACTACAGCAACACATTGTACCCATGTAAGCAATCGAACCCGGGTTATGGACGTGACGAGCGAACACTTTAACCACAAGCTTCCCCATAACAAACATGAACATGAGAACAAGATCTTCTAATCAGTACAGGTTGTCAAATGTTCCAATGTGTTCAGGTTTCAGCTGAATAGACCAAACCATATCCTACCTCTAACGAAAACAATCAACAGCAGCATATCATGCTGTGGTGCAGACAGTTTCACAATATCGAAACTTCTGGTATGTGGAACTCGCACCTTTCGACTAAAATATATATATCCAACTTTGAGACATCCGGTTTTATACATTCAGATTACAGACGTCGGGTTCGAAATATCCAAATTCGAGACGACAGGTTCAGTATATCAAGATGAGAGAATCACATGAGGGAAACGTACTTTTGATACAACAATAGCCAGGTACAATATTACTGTCATGAACACATCCAGGTATCTTGATTCGAGATATATGGCTCCTGAAGCAAGTTTCACGGCTTCGAAAATCAATGGACCAAACATCCATGTTGGGGTTGGCGATAGGTTTTATCAGGAGATACGGCAACATCTCAACACCAGCCTGAAGCCCACACTCCACCGTAGTATTTAGGATTGGATTTACGTGTTGACTTTCCTAAAGACGACGGCACCATCTTCCTCTTGTAACGGTTTAAGATCTTGATCATCTTGGCTAGGATATCTGGGGACTTGTAGGCGATGTCATAACTCTCTGTTGGGTCAGCTATGTACAAAGAAATTTAGGAATGAGTAAGAATATTTTAAGATCAAATACATACAATCTTTGAATGAGTGAGTATAGTTTTTGTCGACGCCGTTAGCAGCAATATACCAAAACGAGGGGGGGCATCAGAGACATACTTCACACATTGCACTCATGTCTGGAATCGCATCCGGGGCCTTCGGCGTGACACGCGAACGCTGTAACTACCAGGCTACTTACCGCCCTAAACGTTTTACAAAATGGCAAACACCATTTATTCATTTTATGAGTCAAACAGTGAGTGAGTGAGTAAGGTTTTAGCCCGCTTTTAGCAATACTTCAGCAATATCATTGCGGGAGATACTAGAAATGGGCTTCACACATTGTACCCAGTGTTGAATCCAAACCAAACCTTCGACTTGACAAGCGAACGCTTTATCCACTGAACTATCCGACCGCTCGGAATCAAGGTACTTCTGTCCTACCCCAACAGTTGCTCTCGTATTTAAGGAAGAAGTGAATTAGCCACTTTGTAAATATCTATACATTGATAAATGTTAAAGATATCTCATTGTACCTGCTAAACGGTGGTATAAAATAATAATTCTCTAAAGAAGTGTGGTGTGGTGTGGTGTGGTGTGGCGTGGCGTGGCGTGGTGTGGTGCAATTGGTGAGCGAGTGAGTATGGTTTTACGCCGCTTTTCGCAATGTTGCGGGGGGACACCAGAAATGAGCTTCACACATTGTACCCATGTGGGGAATCGAACCTGGGTCTTCAGTGTGACGAGCGAACGCTTTAACCAATAGGCTACCTCACCGCCCCGTGGTGCAATGGGACTTAACCTCGGTTGAAAGATGTTTCCATTTCATTTCCTCGTGTGTGTAAGAATAAGTTTCCTGGTGCTAATTAATGCCGATTTTTAGACCTAACCCATTAAGATGCCACAGCGTAGTTTAACCCGGACACCCAACTCAGACACATTATAGTGACCAGTCCTAGGCAGGGAAACAATATGTAGCATATTCATGTATGCCAGTTAAATATGACATATTACTAAAACCTATCTTTTAATATCGTTTTCTTTTTCTCTATTTCTATACGGATGTACACGTGAACATCCGGATCTTCTGTAAACCATGCTTGTCGTAAGAGGCGACTAACGGGATCGGATGGTCAGGCTCCCTCACTTGGTTGACACATGTCATCGCAGTGTAGGAAAGAAAGCCCGTCCCAACGTCCGAGACGGGTGAATTTTGTGGAGGACGGGTTAAAAAAATATCTAGTCCGTCCTCATGTCGGGTCAATTTTAGCAAACCATTGACATATATATAATGATTATAACCTTTTTGAATATTTACTGCCGAAGGTGTTTTATTTATATTTGGAGGACAGGCTAGATCTTGGCAGGACTGGTAAAAAAATTGACCTGCCAGTCCTGTGGACAGGCTAGATTTTCTACATCTTTCCTACACTGGTCATCGTATCCCAATTGCGTAGATCGATGCTCATGCTGTTTTTCACTTGATTGTCTGGTCCAGACTCGATTATGTACAGACTGCCGCCATAAAGAATATTGGAATATTGCAGCTGTGTAAGTGCGGCGTAAAACTAAATTCATTCACTCACTCACTATACGGAAGTGTCACCTTGTGAACAAAAACAACCGGTGTTACCTCAAAACAAGCAACGCGGGATGGTTATTTCATTTGGAAATTTCTCGAAAGCTGAAGTTAATGGGGATTTTTCAGGAGCATATAATTAGACACTTGAATTTATGGACTGTGGGGTGAAATAATACAATCATGAAATAGACTTTTAACAGTGTTTAATAATAAAACAGTGAAACTCCTCCCTTCAACCGTTTCACAAACTGCAACCACCTGACTGGCCTAAGACGACACTTAGTCAGCTAAGTTTGGAGTAATTGGGAGTTATGGTTATGGTATCTCAGAATGCACGCACGCAGACACACACACTTCAGTTGGTCGAATTCATCTACCTGTAATGTTAAAGAGTTGGTACTCGGGAAGCCTGAGCTTGTCAGCTTTATAGAGGCACCTGTCTGTCCACAGGGTAGGTACGGGGTACCAGTTGTTATAGCGCCCTGGATTGCCGTGGATGAGCTTCATGTGACCAATACTGTGGAGGAAAGTGTAGATGCATTGTAAACTGTGTACATACTAATCAGGGTCGAGTTTATGACTTTCGGGACTGTGGCAATGTTCAGTCAATTTGAAAACTTTACCTTTCCTATTTAACAGCGACCCGATTCATGCAGTTAGAGCTGTGTATTTTCAGTTTTTGTCATTTTTCATTCATTTTTCAGTAATGATGGATTTGTTCAAACCTGAACTATTTCTGGAAATTTGGATTCCAATGATTGTTGTCAATCAAAATTGTCACATTTATTAAACTTACATTTCGTTGTATTGTTTTCTAAGGTCTAATTCTATACTTCCTGCCTTGTATTCTGGTGAGCTAAACATGTTGACCTGCCTCTGTCATACTACCGTAATACTGAGTTCTGTGATATGTTGTTCAGGTGAGCTAAACATGTTGACCTGAACGTAGCGCACTGCCTCTTTCATACTACCGTAATACTGAGTTCTGTGGTATGTTGTTCAGGTGAGCTAAACATGTTGACCTGCCTCTTTCATACAAACGTAATACTGAGTTCTGTGATATGTTGTTCGGGTGAGCTAAACATGTTGACCTGAACGTAGCGCGCTGCTTCTTTCATACTACCGTAGTACTGAGTTCTGTGATATGTTGTTCAGGTGAGCTAAACATGTTGATCTGAACGTAGCGCCCTGCCTCTTTCATACTACCGTAGTACTGAGTTCTGTAGTTTGTTGTTCAGGTGAGCTAAACATGTTGACGTGGGTGCCGTTGTCCAAAGCGATCTTAGCGCTAAGGTGACCGTAACTCCCATACCTTAACATAGACTTAAGTTAGTCTTAGCGCTAAGGTTGTTTTGTACAACGGCATCCTGAACGTAGCGCCCTGCCTCTTTCATACTACCGTAATACTGAGTTCTGTGATATGGTTGTTCAGGTGAGCTAAACATGTTGACCTGAACGTAGCGCCCTGTCTCTTTTATACTACCGTAATACTGAGTTCTGTGGTATGTTGTCCAGGTGAGCTAAACATGTTGACCTGAAAGCGGCGTCCTGCCTGTTTCACGCTACCGTAATGCTGAGTTCTGTCGTATGTCGTCGATGTTGTGAACGATCTGCCGACGTTTGCTACGCGTCCCCTTCCGTATCATCATCCATTGGTTGACACCGTCCATTGTGTTACCTGAAAGATTATTTTCAAATGTCAATCAACATAACGCAATGTGTGAGTAGCCGTACACATTTACGCTGCTTTCAGGAACCTGCACCCATTGTGAGGTGAGTGAGTGAGTGAGTGAGTGAGTTGGGTTTGACGCCACTTTTAGCAATATTCCAGCAATATCCCGATGGGGACACCAGAAATGTTTTTTTATACAGTGTACCCATGTGGGGAATCGAACCCGGGCCTTCGGCATGACCAGTGAACGCTTAACCACTGGGCTACCCCTTCCCCTCTCCACCGCCCTGCCATTGTACAAATGTTGGGAAACGAACCCAGTCCAGCCCAACCCAGTGACGAGCGAACACTTCCACTGTTATGCTACGTAACAAATATTACTGATGGCTTAAACAGGGGATAAATGAACTGGATTAATGTATAACATTCGGTAATACGTCATAGGTTCTGTATATACACTACATTCCTCCACCACCACGGAACAGCGTATGGACGCTTACAAAACCTCAGAGGTACTGACGAAGGAATAAACACGCCCAGTCCTTGGTAAATCCCGACCTAATCCGCCTTACCAACGTCTCACACCAAACCCGTTTTTCTCCAGCATCATCCTCCACCACCCCAAAAAAACAACACCAACAAACACAACAACAAAAAAACAAAAACAAAAACAAACAACAACAAAAACCCACAAAAAAACAACAACAAAAACCAACCAAACAAACAAACAAAAAACCCAAACAAACAGAAAACAAAACAAAACTCAAAACAAACAAAAAAACAAATCAAAAAAGACCAAAAAACCCCAAAACAAACATACCCAAAACAAAAACAACAAAAAACGAAACAAAAATAAAAACAAACAAACAAACAAACAAACCATAAATAGGCGGACACTTGCAGGAACTTACTTGACTTCCCACCTGCAACGTGCAGCAGCGTAGGGTACCAGTCCACTGCATGAAACAGCCTGTAACAAGAAGAAAGTCATCAATATCCCCCGCAATGGTAAATTACTCTTCATGAATATGACTAGTTATGACAATGTCAAATGTTATGTTGTTCTTCACATTGATATAACGAAAACTTATATATCTAAACTGTTCATGTACTAGCATGCTTATCAACAACAGACTGCCTGAGTGCTTATTTTGTTCTTCACATTGATATAACGAAAACATATATATCTAAACTGTTCCTGTACTAGCATGCTTGTATCAACAACAGACTGCCTGAGTGCTTATTTTGTTCTTCACATTGATATAACGAAAACATATATATCTAAACTGTTCCTGTACTAGCATGCTTGTATCAACAACGGACTGCCGGAGTGCTTCCACGGTTTCATATACCTCAGTAATGTTGATACTGGAAACAGATTACTACTGTTGATTTATGTCATTAGGTTTTTGAATACCAACAAAGTGGAAGGAGAGTATTGAAATGTTCTGCTCCTGAAAAGAGCACTACCACCAATTTCAGTCAAAGTAAAACTTGTTGCCATGGAAATGCAAAATTTCATTTACTCAGATATCCAAAACTATCAAAAGGCACCAGTTCACAAACATACCTATCTATGTGTCAAAATTTGGTGAAGAAACATTGAACGGCTTCAAAATTCTGAACCGAATAAGAGCACTACCACCAATTTCAGTCGAAGTCAAAGTGTTGCCATGAAAATGAAAAAAAGATTTTATTCAGAAATCCAAAACTATCAAAAGGCACCAGTTCACCACCAGACCCATCTATGTGCAAAGTTTGGTGAAGAAATATTGAACGGTTTTTATGTTCTGCTCCGGAAAAGACGAATTTGCACGGACGGACGCACGGACGGAGTCCAAATAAATACCCCCGCAAAACGCGTTGCGGGGGATAACAAACGTGTGAGTGAGGGAGTGAGTTATTGGTTGAGTGATCACAGCTCTGGTTACCGATTTTTCTCTCTCTAACATTGTTTTACATCGCCTCTATCGGTATGTCACTATCGGGGCTATGGATCTTCCTTCTTTACATTGTGAAGCTTACATCCAAATGTCTTACTGTATCCTCTACTAAATATACCTCTCCCCTGTATCAATGTAGTATTAGTGAGCAGGTGAGTGATCGCACAATACTCCACTCGTATCATCGAGTCTGGACCAGACAATCCAGAGATTGTCATAATGAGCTTCGATCTACCCAATTAGGATACGATGACATGTGTCAACCAAGTCAGCAAGCCACCCGATCCCGTTAGTCGCCTCTTACCATAAGCAAGGTAGCTGAAGACACAGATGAAGATTCGAACTCGAGATTCTTCTCGGCTTTGTATAACATACAAACGTCAAAAGAGTTAAACTCTGCCGAACGAACGAACCCCAACACTGTCACAGAGATGTTACCACATGGCTATTGCACATGTTAAACACGTTTACAGCGAGGACCAGTGGCGTTTACGCCACGGAAACTGAGAAACTGAGTGAGTTTAGTTTTATGCCAGCAAAATCACGGCGGGGGGACACATGAAATGGGCATCACACATTGAACCCATGTGGAGAATCGAACCCGGGTCTTCGGCGTGACGAGCGAACGCTTTAATCACTAGGCTAACCCACCGCTCCAGAGGCCGGATGTATTCATAGGTGATGGGGAAAGGATGGTTGTTGGGAAGGTTGAACGATGGTTGACAGATATATGCAACGTGATGACAGCTTACCCATCATGCCATTGTATCCTCTTCTTGAGCAAAGTCTTACTGTACACAAGGGTGGGGACTCTCATGCCTCCCTCCCATAGAGTTGTCTTTGCACCCCGTAGCGGCCAGTTATTTCCGCCTGCATAGGGGGCGCCACCGTTCTGAAATTTTATAATCCGTTCAACGTCAAGTGATTACATAGTCTTACAATTCATTAAATCTTATATTTACTTCGTCCAATGATGTATTATACCATAGCCATGCTAACACTTGTCGGGGTTGTAATAGTATACTGGCATCGTTCACACCATGACTAAGGTTCAATGTGGGAATGAGTGAGTATGGTTTTACGCCGCTTTTTGCAATATTCTAGCAATATCAAGGGTGCGGGATACTCAAAATCGGCTTCACCCATTCGACCTTTGAAAAGTCGAACCGGCAAATTCGTCGTGACGAGCTAACGTTTTCACACCATTGCCTCTCTACTTATTCATGAAATATTACGTATGTTGCTGAGATATTGGAAATTACAGGTACAAGAGCCAGTGAGAGAGTTTAGTTTCACGCCGCACTCAGCAATATTCAAGCTATATGGCGGCGGTCTGTAAATACTCGAGTCGGGACCAGAAAATTCAGTCATCAACAGCATGAGCATCGATCTACGCAATTGGGATACGACAACATGTGTCAACTAAGTCAGCGAGTCTGACCACCCGATCCCATTAGTCGCCTCTTTGACAAGCATGGGTTGCTGAAGATCAGTTCCAACCCGGATCTTCACGGGTTACATGCTAACAGGGGAACCTGTGAGTGAGGTTGTTTGCTGCTATGACCCGTTTTTCACTTTGGTCGCATGGCGTGGCGAGGAGAGATGCAGGTACCAGAAATTGGTGAAATCTGTTGTATAGGGGTTGAAATAGTCCCAAATGACGTCATCGAACACCTGGCTGACCTCATTTCAAAGGGGTGTAAATGACCTTGTACTGAGCTGACCTTGGGATAAACAACTTTCCTAGAGGTATTTTTAGACTTGTGTGGGCAATATAAGACTCCCGAACATTCCCCATGTCATTCAGACTTCAGTCGGCAGAGAGAACGTCTGCTCTCTGTGAAAAACTATGCTCCTGACTGGTTCTGGTAGGCCTTTACCTCGAAGATACAAAATGGAAGCTATTCACCGTGATATCCTGAGGAAGAATCACTCCGGACTTGTGAAAGCTATACAGCAGGTAGAAGAGGTGGTCGACAAACTGGTGCAGTTAGAAGTCCTTACCATCTTCATGAAGGCAGAGATTATCGAAAAACCACGAACCTCCTTTGACCGGGTCAGAGCTTTATAAGATACCCTTCCCCAGCGAGGACCCCAAGCTTACACCCTCTTTTGTAAAGCACTGGAGGAATGTAAAGAGATACAAGCCATGACATTGCTGGGACTACAGACAGACAAGACAGAGTATCCTCATGGTCATGATGATCTAGGTGGGTACCTATGTATGGACAGTATCCCTCTCAAACCTCAAACACGGTTCCAAGAACGGCTGAATTCCTTTTAAACTTGGCCTGTGTAGATGAAACAGGGTCCTAGTCAAATGGCCCAGGCAGGATTTGTGTACCAGTGGATGCGCACTGGGCTCATAACCCAGAGGACCGTGGATCGAAACCACGCTCTGCTAACAACATGTTTTTTAACACAAGAGGAGTTAGAATTAGGGCTAGCAGACATCTATATAAAGGACAGAAACAGTGATTTAGCTTCATTTAGCCGTGGACCCGTGATAGTGACACTTCATCTGAAATCTCTGTGTGAGAGTCAGTATTCATTCTGAACAAAAAAATGAACAGGAGATACTGGAGACCCCATCTGGACGACCCTAAGAAATGGACCAGCTATTACTATTTGCAGGCTAAAGGATATCCCAATCCCTTTACTAACGTTGATGATTATGTGATCTATTACGAGAAGCAAGGGGTAAAGATGGACCTACCCCCTTCTGAAGAGACTTTTGCACTCACGTCTCTCACCCAACAAGTCGTTCAACAGGTTAAAGAGAGAAAGAAAAAGTGTCGTCAATAGGGAAAACACAATGGAAGCAGTGTCAACAAAGGGAATGAAAAAAGATTTTAAAATAGAGACACAAAGGCTAAATGTGTCATTTTTAGTAGGACTGTCGACGTGTGAACATCATTATGCATCCCTGTCCCGTATGCTCCAAACAATATGTTTGGGCTCATGACGTGTCCCGTCATAATGGAACAAAACATTCAGGAGAAGATATCAAGCAGCAGCAACAAAAGCAAAAGCAGCAGCAGCAACAAAAGCAAAAGCAGCAGCAGCAGCAACCAGTACAACCACATTCATCAGAAAGTACTGCTCAGTTTGAAACGGAGCTAATAAAAAGAATGAAATCAGTTTATCTTGTTTTTTGTCTGTCTGTCATGTATACCTCGTTAGGATGGGAAAACCACATTAACGTGGTGCGCCTAGTGGCAGCAAGATGATCCCCGGGGAGTCGAGAATGGTAATATGGCTGAGATTGACATTCAAGGGAAAATTTACCAGCGCTTCGAGCATGCATACGGGATGGACTATATCATTATATAAATACCCATATAATAATAATATACACTAGTGCGTTGTCATTCATACATTTATGATTACTCCTTCATGCTAACGCTATACAAATACACCCCATTCCTGATAGCATTTTAGATGAATTTCATGAAAGTTGCATTCCTAAATATGTTGGAAGCGCACGTACAATCTCCATGACGAGAACGCACATTTCTACAGTCAAAGCTGACACGCCCTAGCTATAGTCTGTTTGCAGTGAAAACGTACAAATGTTCAATTGGCAAGGTAAAATGATGAGGATTCGCAATCTTAATTTCACTTTATTTGTTTTACTTTTGGGTTTAAAGTGACATTCATCGGTACGTTTTCACTGCAAACAGACTATAGTGTTGATTCTAACGAGCATGTAGCATTTTATTTATGGATGTTTTTGGTTTTAAAGTACATCAAGTACTGTTTTATCATGATGCATTCATTCAATACAAAATCATACTATTTAGTTTGAGCGTAATTCATGGGCTGCTAATTCCACCATATTAACATAGGTTGTTTACACTCGCGAGAAATCTCCAGGCTAACTGTCGACAGAAACTTGACACGCCCTCCCCCTGCCACAGCAGTGCACCGCGCCCCTCATCCCTCCCCTGCCCCCCGCCACAGTATAGTCCCACACACGCAAATGTGGGTCGACAGATCGAGACCGCGTCTCTGCTAGCACTGTGAGAGAGCGCTTTGTACGACACCATCCCAAATATAACATGTTATATTTACATGGAAGTGTATATTAGTCTCATGTTTTAGGTGGTTGATCCATTCAATACATCTCAATATCATCCCAATTTCATCCTTGAATTCCCCCCCCCCACCCCCCGAGATACACTGGGATAGTATGGAATTAAAACAATCACAAACATATGTTGGCATTACAAGGCAGAATACAATGACAATATGGATTGGGTAGGAAGTTCAAATATGGAATGGGAATACCGGTAAGTTTGAAATACATTTGAAATTCTATTTAGTTGGTTTGTTTTGGTGTTGGTCAAGACAAACTCAAACAATTTTCATGTGGCAGTGAACGCTGATCTATATTGCATTGAACAAATATGTTATAAAACCCTTGAACTGAACCCGTATAATTTCTTTTACACATATGTGCGCACATATTAGACTAGACTAACGTTTAGTCTCTGAATATATAATTTTGATAGTAACAAACAAACCTATTTAAATGGAAAAGGAATACCGGAAGACCTGGGGGGAAATCTAGACTTCATTTAGAGCCTTAGCACTTAGGTGACAGAAAAGGTTATTGAGTATGGAAACTATAAACATTTTGTGAAAAGACATGTAGTTAGTGATAACCTCAACTCACTGTCAGAGGGGGTTTATATAGGTAGAATTGAAACCGGATGAAACTAGTTTGTGGTCAGTGGTCCAGCGAGATCGATAGTTGCTCTACGCTGATTGGTCCAACTTAATGACGTGATGTCATGGTGTGATGCTATGATGTGTCATCCGTTTCCAACGGGGTACACGGTCACTGACCCCAGTCAGCCTGTCGAGTCACACCGGCGTGAGTTCGATAGTTGCTCTATGCTGATTGGTCAAAACAAATAGCGTGATGTCATGGTGTGATGCTATGATGTCACGCCGGATCTGTTTCCCACGGGGGCGCGTGGTCATTGTCCCCTTTGAAATGAGGTCAGCCAGGTGTTCGATGACGTCATTTGGGACTATTTCAACCCCTATACAACAGAAATCCACCAGCAAGGGCGAAGTGCTGATTAACTTCTATCATTTTTATGGCGAATCCGGAATCGCGATTCACCGGTTCCGTAACTCGCGATTCACCGGGCCGTAACTCCTGACATAGTTCTATGTGGACATTGTCTTAATAATAATGACTTTTAGCTACATTGCTGCACGGGGAAAGCTTTGCTTCGCAATGGAAATGACTTAACACCTACTGTCACTTCAAGGTAGTTTTATTATGTATTAGTTTCCCGCAAAAACATAACTTGACACGTTTTGCTATATGGTCGTTTTAGGGCAAATCACTGATAATTGGGGCCTTTTCAAGGCTGAACGATTTAGGGCCTACAAAGGGTAAAATGTCCAGTAAAATATACATAGATATATCGATATACTGGTTTTGTTGCTGCTGGAAATTATTGTTGGACATTTAGGAGCTTTGGATCGTATTCAATTCTTACTTGTTGTTTTTACTGGATTAAATATTTTATCTATTAATTTTACTTGCAATATTATATGTAATTGTATGAATAAATGTACTTGAAACTAAAAAATGGCACTGTGGATTGTTTATTGTTACAGCTCTAATTAGCCAGATACATATCCGAATTGTTATATAATATGCATAAGCTATAAACTAAAAGCTGATATTAGTCATTTTAATAATAGCAGTACCGCCATCTGTGACATTTAAGATAAGGCAAAGCGTGCATGTATGAGGCAGATGAAAGACTCTAAACAGTGCGTGAAGAATGGATATTTTTGTATTGCAACAGCTCCACCTGCTTTTTCAATCAGATAATGCTTTGTTTACATGTAACAACGATGTCCTACAGCACAGACAGCCAATGAATGCCGCTATTTTAAGAACCCACTGGTCAGGAGCAATGGACCTACATATCTACCAATGGTAATAACTTAACCAATACTAGTGTGTGTCGTTTGGTTACTTACACCTCGTCAAGGCAAAAGCGAATTCGATAAATTACAGTCATAAACATTAAAGGGAAACAACTCCGCTAGTATTGGGAACACCGGGCTGCCAGATCTCCATGTCTTGATTCTAATGTGAGAAATATACTGAACATCATTGAAAACGCACCACTTATAAAAGTTCAGATTATTAAAAGCACGTGTAAAGAATTGATATTTTTTGAGTGGATAATAACAGATGGACGACTGACAAAAACAACAACACAGAGAAAGACGCTCATTCATTGAAATGTTCCACAGTCAGAAAGGATCAAACACACGTGGGGTCAAATCGAAAAGTCAATATCGCGTGTGACCGCCATTTGCATTAACACATGCAGTTCAACGTCTCCTCATTGAGTCAATAAGCGTCCGAATAGAGTTCTTGAGGATGGCATTCCACTTCTGCAGTAGTGCAGACTCAAGTTCCCGGATGTTTCGCATCTGTTGTCGCCGCGAAAGGCTTTGACCAATTTCGTCCCACAAGTGCTCCATGGGGGATACATGTGGCGACTGCGCTGGCCAATGAATAACCTGGATGTGCTGCTGGGCCAGATACTGCATGGAAAGTCTTCTGTGTGTGCCCGTGCGTTGTCCTGTTGAAAAGTATGGACATCTTGCCGGTGACTGAAGACAGATACGATGTGATTCTGAAGAATCTGCTCACGGTCATAGAGGGCATTAACTCTCCCTTGACAGACATGAAGGCAGTCCTGTGATTGTAATTTATTCCACCCCAGACCATGGCACTCCCACCACCCAAAGGTCTGTCTGAACCACACACTCATCAACATAACGTTCACCACGTCTACGCCAAACACGTAATCGGCCGTCAGCATTACGTAGATGAAGACGTGACTCGTCAGTGACTACCACACCATGCCATTGTTGTAACCTTTACTGAAAATGCCTGCTAGCCCATTGTATACGCTCATTACGGTGTCAGTCAGAATTGGTCCAACGTAAGGACGTCGAGCATGGAGCCTTGTAGCGTGAAGACGGCGTCGCATGGAGTCAGCGCTGATGACCCCTACGTCAGCCTTGAACTAGTGCAGCAGTCCTGGCAGTCGGCAGTGTTCAATCACTGATATGGACAAGGTCAATATGGCGATCCTGATGGAGCGTCGTAACACGTTGTTGCCAAGGTCATCGAAGGTCACGGGTGCTGCCTGTCTACTGATGTCGTCTATGAAGCCTACCGATGGTGGAGTGGCCAAGTCCAAGTTTTCGAGCAATATCTCTGCTGCTGGTGCCAACCTGAATCATGCATAGTGCACGTTCTCTTTCGCGAGGTGTTAACCTCGACATCTCTGTCCTCGTTTCACATTCGTTAGTGAAGCAATGAGAATCGGTTATCATACACCTGTTTTTAATGTCACAGTCAGTATGATTTCAGAATGAAATTCGCGCTTTCTTCATGGCGTGGCTGCATGTTGATGCATTTTAGAATTAAGAGTCATACCGTGGACAGGAATTTGTTCCTAAAGCATTGTTTCAACTGGACATGCCCTTCGACTTCATGTTAATTAGATTCATTGATCATTGTCATGCTGAAATCCATCTTGATGAAAATATGGACAATTTAGACTGGTGCGTTTTCAATGATGTTCAGTATATTTCGTAAAAAGAATCTGCTCTTCAATGGTAAGAACGTAATACTTACATCTGAGGTAAATATGACGAGGGAGTTTTTGAGCAATCCTTCGACTTTGAGTGACCTCATTATATCTCCAATAGCCTCGTCCATTGCGGAGACCATGGCTGGAAGACAAAAGTACACGTCATAATACCTGGCTATCTGTCTCCTGGACCCTACAGAATAAATTACATAGACGTCCAACTCAAAAATAGAACGCTTTGGCCAGTCTACATTGTCTCAGCTCTGAAATTATTAAATGTTCTAGACTCCATTTGGATATTTTTTGCAGATAATTATTTTTAAATATATGAGAAATATATTTCTGGGACTTAATGTCAGTGTAAGTGGCTTATTAAAACAGAGAAACACATGTATTGCTAGACTAACGCTTGTCTCTGAATATACATGTATACACTAGGCTGTAGGGAAGAAAATGTGGTTCAGGGACTGTGAGACAGACTTATGTATTGCCAATAAACACAAGCCATAAGGTCCGATCGACAGCCATTAACAGCCGAGTTGGCAAGAATAAGATTGTGTTTCATGTCAGTTATCAGTCCCGAGGTTATGGGGAAGAAATATAGTCGTGCGACTCCTCGTGGAGTTCTTTTGTGCAGGGTCATGACAAATTCTTGTAGGAGTCAATCGATATGATCTAATGGTCTAAATTGGAATACTTGTTGCAGCACACAATCTATACTGACTGATAGCCTATGAGTTGTTACAATATATCCTGTATCCTTGACAGTACATGATCCATACTTGAATAGTTGTTATAGCACATGGCATATACCGGTACTGGAATAGTTGCTATGGTACATGATCAGTACTGAAAAAGCTGTTGCAGTGCACTATTTTCCCTTATAGTACATGATCTCTGTTGAAATAGGTGTTGCAGCATTTAAACTGAAATAGTTGTTGCAGAACATTAACTATACTGGAATAGTAACGGTGTATCATATATACTGTGTATATTCTAACAGTTGTTGCAATTCGCAATCTGTGCTGAAATGGTTGCAGTACACGATCTATTCTGAAATAGTTGTTGCAATTAGTGATCTATACTGAAATAGTTGCTGCAGTACATGATCTATGCTGAAATAGTTGTTGCAATTCGTGATCTATACTGAAATAGTCGCTGCAGTACATGATCTATGCTGAAATAGTTGTTGCAATTCGTGATCTATACTGAAATAGTCGCTGCAGTACATGATCTATGCTGAAATAGTTGTTGCAATTCGTGATCTATACTGAAATAGTTGCTGCAGTACATGATCTATGCTGTTGCAGTAATATATACTAAAACAGTGATCTATACTGAAATAGTTGTTGCAATTAGCTATACTGCAGTACATGATCTATGCTGAAATAGTTGTTGCAGTACGTGATCTATACTGAAATAGTTGTTGCAGTACATGATCTATACTGAAATAGTTGTTGCAGTACATGATCTATGCTGAAATAGTTGTTGCAAATCGTGATCTATACTGAAATAGCTGTCGCAGTACATGATCAAAATAGTTGTTGCAGTACGTGATCTATCTAAATAGTTGAAATCTTTACTGAAATAGTTGTTGCAGTACATGATCTATGCTGAAATAGTTGTTGCAGTACGTGATCTATACTGAAATAGCTGTCGCAATTAGTGATCTATACTGAAATCGTTGTTGCAGTACGTGATCTATACTGAAATAGCTGTCGCAATTAGTGATCTATACTGAAATCGTTGTTGCAGTACGTGATCTATACTGAAATAGCTGTCGCAATTAGTGATCTATACTGAAATAGTTGTTGCAGTACGTGATCTATGCTGAAATAGTTGTCGCAATCCGTGATCTATACTGAAATAGTTGTTGCAATCCGTGATCTATACTGAAATAGTTGCTGCAATCCGTGATCTATACAGAAATAGTTGTTGCAATCCGTGATCTATACTGAAATAGTTGTTGCAATCCGTGATCTATACTGAAATGTTGCAATCCGTGATCTATACTGAAATAGTTGTTGCAGTACGTGATCTATGCTGAAATAGTTGTTGCAGTACGTGATCTATACTGAAATAGCTGTCGCAATTAGTGATCTATACTGAAATCGTTGTTGCAGTACGTGATCTATACTGAAATAGCTGTCGCAATTAGTGATCTATACTGAAATCGTTGTTGCAGTACGTGATCTATACTGAAATAGCTGTCGCAATTAGTGATCTATACTGAAATCGTTGTTGCAGTACGTGATCTATACTGAAATAGCTGTCGCAATTAGTGATCTATACTGAAATAGTTGTTGCAGTACGTGATCTATGCTGAAATAGTTGTCGCAATCCGTGATCTATACTGAAATAGTTGTTGCAATCCGTGATCTATACTGAAATAGTTGCTGCAATCCGTGATCTATACAGAAATAGTTGTTGCAATCCGTGATCTATACTGAAATAGTTGTTGCAATCTGTGATCTATACTGAAATAGTTGCTGCAATCCGTGATCTATACTGAAATGTTGCAATCCGTGATCTATACTGAAATAGTTGTTGCAATCCGTGATCTATACTGAAATAGTTGCTGCAATCCGTGATCTATACTGAAATAGTTGTTGCAATCCGTGATCTATACTTGCTGAAGCAGTTGTTGAATGATCTATGGTGGCATAATTGTTGGAGTACATATTCTTTAGGTTAATACTCACCACTATATAAACGTCGAGATCTATACCGGATTCTTGAGTACAAGTCTTTAAACCTCTTTGGAGCCTGCAAGGACAATAACAAATAGCAAGGTTATATTGTTTCATTCATAATTTCATATTTTAAACAAAGGAAGTGAGATATCCCGTTTGTTGATGGCAGCTCTATAATTAAAAGTCTAAATGCATGAAATTGGGATGTCTAGCATATATACAGTAGTTGGTCATAAGTGAGTCATCAATAGTGAAATTTCCATAGACTTACATGATAATTAACCGTTGCAAGATTAATTTTCATAAATTGAGTAGAAGTCATTTTATTTTGATATTTTGCAAACATCTTGGAAATCACCTTCAGCTACGTGTACATAAGTTTCTTTCTGCTTTCCGTTGATTAGTTATCGAATGACACTTGATTAAGCACCATACTTACGTACAACGTTAATCTATCCCATAGACAGCCATGTTAAACCTGATTGGTATGTCTAATATAATATGCTGCAGTTTTCTTAATAATCATCGGAAAATTGAATGGAAATTATGCGTATGTAGCTGAGATGATTTACCTGCTGGTAGATAAGGATTGAAAGCAATTCGACTGAAACTAAATTTATGAAAATAATTCTTGCAAGAGTTCATTAACGTGTAAGTCTATAGGAATTTAACTAATGATGACTCACTTATCGTCAACTACTGTATATACCGATTTCAATGTTTAACCTCCCTGGAGCCTGAAACGACAAAAACAAATAATAAGGTCAGATTGTTTAATTCAAAATGTCATATTTTTAACAAAGGAAGTAAGATATTCTGTTTGTTTATGGCAGTTTTATATTTCAATTTCAATATATAGTACGTGATATATACTAAAACAGTTGTTGCAGTACACGATCTATACTGAAATAGCTGTCGCAATTAGTGATCTATACTGAAATAGTTGTTGCAGTACGTGATCTATGCTGAAATAGTTGTTGCAGTACGTGATCTATGCTGAAATAGTTGTTGCAGTACGTGATCTATGCTGAAATAGTTATATATACTGCAAATCGAGCAATTTCTATGGCTTACCCAAAATTCATAAAAGTAAGGAGATCATAAGACAATGTAAAAATCCTAAAAGCAGCTATGTTGAGATGGAACACCCGGGAGATTTGAAACTCCGACCTATAATTGCAGGCCCAGCGTGTACTACACATAGACTAAGTAATTACATTGATATTTTATTGAAACCAATCTCATCAAATGTTAAAAGTTTTACTCGTGACACCATGCATTTCCTTTCCTCTTTACCACAAAACGTTAATGAAACAAGCAAACTTGTAACTTTTGATGTAAAAATTTTTATCATCCAAAACTGTGTTCCACAGGAGATATCGCTTGTGTGAGATCAAACGATATCTCCTAGGAGATATCGTTTTGACAGTAGATTTTGTACAATGCCCTGACAATGCTATGACGTCATGTACTTGATGACGTCACAATGCTATGACATCGCTGCACTGCAAGTCTAATGGCAGTACCATGTTCAGAGATGTACATTTTTCATTGAAAATTAATGAAGAGTGATTTTGGATGATAAATAGAAGCTCACCCTCGTGTCTTCTGATGTCAAATATATCAACACTCGTTGATAAAAGTAAAAATATCCTCGGCAAGCCTCGGATATTTGTAACTTTATCAACTCGTGTTGATATATTTGATATCAGAAGACACTTGGGTGAGATTCTCTATGTATTCAAATATCCCACATAGCCTAGGAATTAAAGCGTTGGATTATTGGTTAAACCGTTGTGAAGAACACATACCTGAGCGAATTTCAAAATCATTTATTTTGGAAAGCGTTGAATTCATCTTAAAAAACAATATTTTCTTTTTTGACGATAAGTACTATAAACAGATTAAAGGAACAGCCATAGGAAACAAAATGGCGCCGACTTATGCGACGCTTGTCTTAGGATATCTGGAGGAAAAGTTCAAGCATAAAATCAGTCAAATTCTTGGAGAGGATGTTGCCCATTATTTCATGGAAAATTGGAAAAGATTTCTAGACGACTGCTTCATAATTTGGCCATTTTCTGAGGAGAAACTAAATACATTTTACGAACTATTAAATAGCATGGGCGAAAATCTTGTTTTCACTATGGAGGCAGATGAAACTAAAACAGCTTTCTTAGACACAATGGTCATCAAATCGGGGCGGAAATTGGACACAGATATCTTCTACAAACCTACAGATACGAAACAATATTTAAACTTCAAATCTTGTCATCCGAGCCACACCAAAAGAAGTCTTCCATATAACCTGGCACGAAGAATATGTACAATAGTTTCAAACCAAGACACCCGCAATCAAAGACTGAATGAACTTTTTACTATTACGGGAATATCCAAAATCTCTTGTTGAAGACGGAATATATAAAGCTTTACAGCTTAATAGAGACGATCTTTTGACAGGAACGATGAGACAAACCAATGAGGAAAAAGTAATTACTTTTGTATCTACTTATAATCCGTTGAACCCAAATGTGTTCCAGAACATAAAAACAAATATGTGCATCTTAGAACAAGATGAAAAACTGAAATCAATGCTGAAATCTAGAAAAATAATAAATAGCAAAAGACAAAATCAGAATCTTAAAAAGATACTAACAAAAGCCAAATTTATTTTAAAGAAACAGAATTTACCAAATCCTACTGTGTCTAGATGCAACAGAGGTAACTGTGGAACGGGTCGACATATTGTTGAAGGACGCTCTGTAACTTTCACGAGACACGGAGAATTCTATGTAAAACAGAATTTTGACTGCTCTTGCAAAAACATAATATATGTCATAACATGCACAGGCTGTAATGAACAGTATATTGGTCAATCAGAAAATTTAAGAGCCCGGGTTCGTGTCCACAAACAACAAATAAAGTGTCCTGAAACCCGATGTATCCCACTGAGTGAACATCTAGATGTCTGTGAGAAAGGAAACGATGTTAAATTTACAATATTTCCTTTTTATCAAGTTCAAAATTCGGACAAAGTAAAACGAATTTTAAAAGAACACTACTTCATAGACAAGTACAAACCAATGTTAAACCATTGCAAGCTGTGACCTTGTCGCTCTAGAATGTTGTCCCTATTATGACGTCACAATATATATGTAATGACGTGCATACCGCTACAATCTGCCTGAAGAGTAAAGAACGAAACATGTTGGAGAAAACGGCATTCTGTTTTTATTTATCTATGCAATATTTATGACTGAACACCTGTACTACTTTGGACATTTTGTGCGTATATATATATATATGCAGATAGATAGGTAGATAGATACAATTTTAAATTTTAAACATAACACGTGATGGGTACCACAGACATGTAGATAGATAGTAAGATAGATAGATAGATAGATAGATAGATACATATATTCTGGAAACCTGTTTGTTCAGAACCTCTTGTTAATATACGTGTCCATGGTTACCTGCAAGGGCACGTGCACAGCTTGGAATGACACAAACAGGAAGAGGGGCGATTTCTGATCGTGCGTCCGGATGATGTCAATAGCCCGTCGTGCAAACACAAACTGACAAATAACAGAAATACTTTAGTCGTCATGGTAACCGAAATTAGATATATATTCATCACTGGTTGAAGGTGTGAGTGGCGTCAGAGTTTTTTTTCAGATAATGGCTGTCCGAAACATACAAATGCCAATCAAACTATTATAATTTGTAACATATAGCCAATATTTTGCATTTTATGTCTTCAACTGTATCAATATATCATACGCTTAATTAATGAATTCTTGGATGAATGGAGTCTGAATAATTGTAAGTGGAATAACAATTACTTGGTCATCATTATTGTGGTGATAATTATCATTATGAATGTACAACGTGAAGGAATTAAAAAGAAATAGCGCATATAGTCATTAATTTTTTTTTCACGTAGAACATCTGTCGACTTCGGTTGGAGTTCAAATTAGGCAGAGTACTGTATGAGGCTTAAATGTTTAACGCCGCACTCAGCAATATATTTCAGGTATATGGCGGCGTTCTGTAAATAATCGAGTCTGGATCAGACAATCCAGTCATCGACAGCATGAGAATCGTTCTACGCAATTGGTATACAATGGCAAGTGTCAACCAATTTAGCGAGCCTGACCACCCGACCCCGTTAGTCGCCTTTTGCGACAAGCATGGGTTACTGAAGACCAAGTCTAACTCGGATCTTCAGGCTTGGAACTTGGAATGTGCATTTGTATCTGTAACGTTAGTATATTAATCAATAGTATATGAATCAATATACGACACTGTAATATACATGATGTCAATTTTGGGAACAGGTGATTTCTACCATTTCTTTAAAAATGATTGTTTTTGTTTTTACTTACAGTAGAGTAATTTCCATTTTCAGTAGCGAGGACGGACGAGTTCAACCAGAAGTCCAAGCCGATGCTGTTCTGTTGACCTGAAACAGTCATGTTCTCACCTGCAACATCCTCGTTTGTGCAGGGAATTATATATCAGTCATGTTATAATAAATAAGATGTCACCACCAGATCCATCCTCGTTTGTGCAGGGTATTATATTTCAGTCACATTACAATAAATAGGATGTCACTACCAGATCCATTCTCATTTGAGAAGAGTATTATATATCTATCATTGAAATACACAATGCCGTTTTAGAAAGTGGTCAAATGTAACATATGTTATATTTTGGGATTACACAAAATATAAAATATGTTATATATTTATCATATTACAATAAATAAGATGTCACCATCAGATTCATATTCGTTTGTGCAGAGTATTATGCATCAGTCATGTTATAATAGATAAGATGGTACCATGTGATCCAGATCTGGCCAAGTTTTCAATCTCATTGTAATGAAATCTTAATCCTAAACAAACACCTGTAGATATTCAATTACTGGTCAGTTTGACTGACCAATGAAAGGACAAAACGCCTGCATTAGCAAGTCAAGAAGCAGCTTTGTGGGACTGCTAGTTTGAATTTCTAAGCTTTTGGAAGTTGCAACATTAAAAAACATTAGGGATGACCGCCCAGTAGAGTCTCGAATCAATACCTGACCCACAGGACTGACTGCGACCTAGCGTCTATACCTCTGATATGAGAGTAATAGTCCTCAGCCCCTCCGTAGAACCCAAGGAAACTGTCAAAGCCCCGGTATGTGGGCGTGTACTTGGAGTTGCAGTACCCGAGGTGCCACCTGTAAGTGTGAAACACATACATCTCTATGATCAGTTAGTTTTAGAACAAATCATGAGAAAGTGAGTGAGTGAGTTTAGCTTTATGCCGCACTCATCTATATTCCAGCTATATGGCGTCGGTCTCTATATATTCGAGTCTGGACCAGACAATCCGGTGATTAACATCATGAGCATCGAGCTACGCAATTGGGATACGATGACATTTGTCACCCCAGTCAGCGAGCCTGACCCCATTAGTCGCCTCGTACGACAAGCATGAGTTACTGAAGATCAATTCTAACCCAGATCTTCACGGGTTTAAATCATGAGGAGGTTGGAACCTACTTTCAAAATAGCTGATAATAAATTGTTATTTTGTTTCTGACTGCTTCTATAGTAAAAATAGATGTTTCGTTGGTTTAACAAAGTGAGAGTAAATTGGGTTTAACACTGCTGATGGTGCGTCTGTTTAGAGAACGAAAAGATCACTGGTTCCCAGGCTGCACCTTCACACAGACACAGACACAAATAGACACACATACAGCCCTTCGACTGCTGAAATCATACAGCATACAGCTGACTTAGAAACCAAATTAGGGCGAGACCTAGATTCGAACCAGCGGTCATAGGTTTCTGGTACGGGTAAGGGACGCAACTCTCTACAGTGAATTGTGACACTATACGTCTTGTTCACCAATGAACTAAGAACGCTATCAAAGAGATAACTGCAACTGAAATGCGAAAGTATTTAGATACTACACACTTCCCAACCAAATGTGTTTTATATCCGAGTTTTTTCAGCTCCTCTGGCAGTAGACGGAACTTGTCCGGGAGATATGTCGGCCTGTCCTGCGGCATGATTCCACTCTGGAAATAGTCCCAGCCAGGATTGAAACAATCATAAGTGATTAAAACGGCCGGAAAATCTCAGTTAACGCCAACCTGGTTGACTTTGTAAAAACATTTTTTAGTTTAAATCAATTATTCCTATTGGAATATTTCGTTGTTGAACGACATTGTTTTGATCCACGGCAATATGAAAACAAGAACATTAAACATGACTACCCGATCCCGTTAGTCGCCTCTTACGACAAGCATGGGTTACTAAAGATCAGCCGCCATATAGCTGGAATATTGCTAAGTGCGGTGTAAAACTAAACTCACTCACTCTGAACATTAGCCTGTCAGCAGCACCACCCCGTGGGATCAATTCTAACCCGGATCTTCGCGGGTTGTGCATTTAGTATAAACTTGTTGTCATATATTACCTGTAGGCCAGTGCGGAAAGGGTATTGACCAGTCAATATAGCAGTCCTCGAACTGAAATATAAAGATTACACATTACTTGAGGAGAATAAAACACACTGTAAAATGTAAACATGATTCTATCTTAGAAACTCAGACTAAAATATCTCTAAAATAAAAATATTGTGTTTTTCTTTTACATTGTAGTTTGCATGTACACATGAGCATCAATTAAGCAACACCATGGGTATTTTCATCTAAGAAGGTGGGAGGTGTTTGACTAATGTCCATGTGTATATGATAGCATGGATCCAAGAGAATCACTTACTTTCCCTAGAACCATCCACTGGAGTCCACAGAAATGCCAAAGATTTACACTAAGTGCGTTTATATATTTTAAGTCATTTGTCTATTTACATAAGCTCGATCCATGCTGAGAATTCCCCCAGAAACTTTTGCTAAGAAAATGGATAAGAATTTCGCTTAATTCATGCTCTAAGTAAAGGTTTAGGTGAATAGATTATTAAACGATCACCGTAAAGTTATATTGCTTGTTTGCCGCCTCAGACAACATTTTCCCGCTGAGTCTAATGTGAGCAGGATTTTACGCCTCTTTTAGCAATATTACAGCGAATCACTACAGACGAAATGCACTTCACACTCATAGCCTTCACTGCGAGTGCGAGTGCGGTGCGAGTATGGTTTGACGCCGCTTTTAGCAATATTCCAGCCATATTAAGGCGGGGGACGCCAGAAATGGGCTTCACACATTGTACCCATGTGGAGAATCGAACCCGGGTCTTCGGCGTGACGAGCGAACGCTTTAACCACTAGGCTACCCCACCGCCCCACATATACTTTAGAGGTTTCGAACTTGGGTCGTAAGGGTCCCCCTACCGTCCTCACTTCCATAATGCTTACTCACGGGGTACAGACTGGCTGGACGTATGAACTATTCAGGATCACCCCTGCTCGCGCCAGTCGATCCAGATTCGGAGTTTTAATCTCGCGATTCTTCCAGCCAACGTCATTCCACCCTGAAAGGTAAACTGGCATGTTATTCTGGTGATATCTGTTACATTTATTACATTACTGGTATAGAAGAGATCCACAGCAACCCATGCTCGCGCCCTTCGGTGATGCTACCAGTGAAGAACCGGGTTAGAATTGATCTTCAGTAACCCATGTTTGTCGTAAAAGGCGACAAACGGGATCGGGTGGTCAGTTCGCTGGCTTTGTTGACACATGTCATTGTATACCAATTGCGTAGATCGATGCTCATGCACTTGATCACTGGATTGTCTTGTCCAGACTCGCCTACAGAGTGAGTTATTTAACGCCGCACTCTGCAATACTCCAGCAATATGGCGGCGGTCTGTAAATACTCGAGTCTGGACCAGACAATCCAGTGATCAACAGCACGAGCATCGATCAACGCAATGACATTCAATCAGTACGACGTATATCAGTCAACATCTGTTAACAGCAAACGTTAACCTGGGTTATGTTTTGGTCAACACAGGTTCACATAGGTCGTTCAGGATTTTGAAATCAGACGAAAGTAGGCCTAATGTTGCCAGAAATATGGTAATCTCGGGTAAACGAACTGAATATTCCTATGCACGTACTGATGTGCACTTGACGCCTGTGGTGGATGTTGCTGTTTTTCTATTTTTCAAAAGTAGATTCCATTTCATACGAAACTCGCCATAAAGTATATCGACTTTCAAAGATTAACCTGTGTCGAAAATGGTCACTTTAGAAAATCCCTGCCTCATTTAAATCTCAGTAGGTTTTCGTTCAAGTTGGTTGACTTCTTGAGAGGGATTTTCTGAGTTATAAGGGGGGGGGTACATGGAAGTAACTTTACGGAGAGATGTTGGGAAACGTGTTTCAGGGTGCTAATTGTTAGGAGAAAAACCTTGCTCTGTTGCACTTGTGTTTTTTAAGCCGAAAAAAATGGATTATTTCTTCTCTTTATCGTGTCCCCAACATGATCAAAATAGTCCATTTATCAGTCGGCGTGTGTTTGTCTGTGTCGGAGCCTGTGTCTATGTCTGCCTGTGTCTGCCTGTGCCTGTGTCTATGTCTGCCTGTGTCTGTCTGTGCCTGCCTGTGTCGGTGCCTGTGTCTATGTCTGCCTGTGTCGGTGCCTGTCTGTGTCTGCCTGTGTCTGTGTCTGCCTGTGTCGGTGCCTGTGTCTGCCTTTGTCTGTGTCTGCCTCTGCCTTTGTCTGTCTGCCTGTGTCGGTGCCTGTGTCTGCCTCTGCCTGTGTCTCTGCCTGCCTGTGTCGGTGCCTGTGTCTGCCTCTGTCGGTACCTGTGTCTGCCTCTGTCTGTGTCGGTGCCTCTGCCTGTGTCTGTGTCGGCCTCTGCCTGTGTCTGCCTCTGCCTGCCTGTGTCGGTGTCTGTGTCTGCCTCTGCCTGCCTGTGTCTGCCTCTGTCTGTGTCGGTGCCTCTGCCTGTGTCTGCCTCTGTCCGTGTCTGCCTCTGCCTCTACCTGCCTGTGTCGGTGCCTGTGTCTGCCTCTGTCTGTGTCGGTGCCTCTGCCTCTGCCTGCCTGTGTCTGCCCGTGTCTGTGCCAGTGTATGTGTCTGTGCCAGTGTCTGTGTCTGCCTGTGTCTGTGTCTGCCTGTGTCTTTGTGTCTGTGTAGGGGCAGAGGCTCTCTTCTAATTAGAGGCTAAACTAATAATTATTATTCTGTTTCAATTAAAATGACATTTTACTTCAGTTACAGTTAGAATTCAGGGTTCCAGCAGTGACATTGTGAAACACATTCCACTGGATCTGAATGTGTTGGTTGTCTCGCCTCTTTGAACAATATCCCAGCCTTAAGACGACGGGGCACCCAGGAACGGGCTTCAGATGCGAAGCCCATGTGGGCAAACGAACAAATAACCATCTAACTTTTTGTAGATTCACTGTATATCATTTAAATCCATTTTAAACAAGTAATTTTCCCTATATCAAAGAATCAAATATCATTGTAAACACGTGATTTTCCCTATATGAAACAATTAAGCACGTTATTATCCCTATATCAAAGAATTAAAAGCATTATAAACACGGGATCTCCACAATATCAAACGATTAGATATTGCAAATAACTGATTTTCCCTACACAAGCAATTAAATATCATAATAAACACGTGATTTTCCCCTATATCAAACAATTAATAGCATATTGTGAGGAATGCTATGTGTCCCTCGCAAGAAGCTTTGTCATGCAAGACGCACGACACCAATGTATGTTCATGTGACTTTTTAGTTTCAATTTGTACTTTAAATAAAGTTTCGTACACAACACATGTAGTATGTCCAAACAAGATGTTTTCTGCAGAAAGAAAAGAATATGAGAAATTACATACTTTTTACACTTTCTGACAATATTATTAAGTCATTTCTCAAAGGAAAGCGAGTTTCCTTTGACGCTCGCAGCGAGGAGTCAATATTACACAGAATGAGTCTTCTCGTTTTAATCACGTTTCAAACAGCGCCACATTTTACAGCTGCTTTTGGTCGAGATCTCGTTATCGCTAGCATAAGAGGTATGGATTCTTCTCAAATAACTGACGGCGTATTTTTGCGATAATTGGAATATCCAGACGTGCGACGTCGTTGGCCTTGACCTACTGACCCAGTGGGAAACGTTAAAAAGACACCTCGACGTAACAAAATACTACACAAACAAACATTAATAAGAAGGGAAGTAAGTTGTTAGCTACGCTCAACCAGCTCCAGGGGAATGAGAATTCTTGAGCGGATATTTTCTTTCAGTTTGCGCGTCTTACCATCACCTGTAGACCCCCTGGTGCGGCAGGGGAACTGGTTGCACGTATCCCGACAGAAGAGAATGTCATGAACCAAAATGTCTTACTAGTAGGTCAGCTGAGTAAGTTAGTGAAATGGGTTTAGTGCCTCTTTGGACAATAAATCAGGTAATTCACAGCTTGTCAGATTAATGTGAGCGGAAAACGGGATATCACACAGTGGCCCGTTCCACAAAGTGCAAAGACGAGGGTAGCTCCCATACTTTAACATACCATTAAAAGACTGCTGTGAAATGGGGCAGGGTCTTCGAAGTTAATCATTTTGGTGAATCCCGCGAGAGCGGTGCTGATAGGCTAATGTTCAGAGTAAATGAGTGAGGTTAGTTTTACGCCGCACTCAGCAATATCTCAGCTACATGGCGGCAGTTTGTAAATAATCGAGTCTGGACCAGACAGTCCAGTGATCAACAGCATGAGCATCGTTCTACGCAATTGGGATACGATTATACGTGTCAACGAAGACAGCGATCCTGACCACCCGATCCCGTAAATCGTCTCTTAATACGAGCATGTGTTACTGAAGATCAGTTCTAACCCAGATCTTCACGGGTCTAATGTTCAATCAAGACGGATCTTCCAGTAGCTTCAGTATCCAAGAATTACCATTAATCAGAAGCAAACTGATACACGTTCAACACATTTATTGTGTCACGTGACCCTATGACGTCACTGCAGAGTCATTTTAAGCTATATAGTATTTACTCCCACGATGTAATTCACACTGGGTATATAATGCTTAAAGGGGTATTCGAGATACTTTTTTTCATTGGATTTTGAATTTATTTGGTACTGGGTATAAGACTACCTGTATCGTCAATATATAACTATGTGTAAAGGTACTTGAATGCACAAATTGAAAAATAAACATTCCATAATTACTCACTGTGCCATTACAATTCTAATATGTACATATAAATGCCGATATCGAATATATTTAAAAAAGGACAAATAATTATCAAGGCAAGATTTTCTTTAAAAGCATGATATTTGTATACAGAGTTTCAATCCCGGAGAGAGTCTGGGCGGATTCCATATCCGAACAAGTTTCGTGCACTTGACAATCATGTGATACCACCTGGCGGTAGTCTTATATCATCTTAAAAGAACAGAAACGTTGATGTCATTTTGATGTAATTGAAAAATGAAGGCTCGCTGACTTGGTTGACACTTGCCATCGTATCTCAGTTCCGTGGAACGATGCTCATGATCACTGGATTTCGGGTCCAGACTAAATCATTTACAGACCGCTAAACATATTCAGAAAACAATTGTCTTCTTACATCATCGGTCTTTTGATTCAATCAAATATTGTATATCAAGTGTTCGTTCGTAATTAGCTGAATGTTTAAATTAAATAAGCAGTTTGTGCAAAGTTGGTGCTTGGCGAAGTGGTAACGTTATGAGCCCAGCTTATTTCTCAAGTTCGGAAATTCAGAGGTCATTCTAAGTTCACGTTATGGGATAAGTGTCCACATGTGGCACAAGAAAGTAAGGAATGCTTACATCTTGGCACCGGCGAGCCAGAACGGAATGGTAAGAGTTGCACCGTGTCACTGCAATAATGGTCTTGCACTGGAGGAGGGCACAGGGCTGTTAATGCCATAGTCTCATGGTAAAGTACACTCTTTGAATAATGCCAAACACCACCTGGAGCCAGTCTTTATTTTGGGAAATGGGTTATGAATACGATGCCCAAAAACGAAACGAAACTTTTAAATGAAGTTAATTCTGACACCTGTTTGTAAGAAATAAACCGATTTAGTGTTTGTTTTCCTTGGCGAGACAATTAGATTAATGGTTCCGCAGATCTGAAAATAATAAATGCCATCGAAAAAGTACAACCTCCAGAAACACTCTCTTACTGCACCGAATGCACAACATTGTTTACCAAAAGAAGTACACATTCAGTCGGTTATTACACGTGTATGCGCGGGTTTACTGTCGATTAAGATTATCTTATATTGGAAGCGTGTATAAGAGTGCAGTTTGTAGCAGGTGGGGTATGCGGGTTCTTAATGCTCACCCACTTGGATACCATACCACACCTTGACTGATTAAGTCAGTCCTTTTACCCCCCTAAACCAGGCAGGATAATGACAAGTACCATCTTTAAATTCCTTTGGCGTGACAAAGGACTCTATCAGCTGCCCATTGAAAGAGTGAGTGAATTTCGTTTTACGCCGCTTTTAGCAATATTTCAGCAATAT